AGCCTGGGTCTTTTGAGTATGAGTATGCCATGCGCTGGAAGGCACTTATTGAGATGGAAAAGCAGCAGCAGGACCAAGTGGACCGAAACATCAAGGAAGCTCGTGAGAAGCTGGAGATGGAGATGGAGGCTGCTCGCCATGAGCACCAGGTCATGCTAATGAGGCAGGGTGAGTATCTACCTAAGTCTTAAAACTAGAAGGACAAAATAACTTCAGGAGTTTCTTTGTATCAGTCAGTAGAGAAAGGCCTAAACTTCAACTTTTATTCTCTGAAATATTTTGTTGATCTTGGTAGGCAAATGAGCTTGGAGATGTGGCAGAGGATACTGGATTCTGTGGAGAAGGAATTAATAGGTTTGACTTCATTTTTGGAATCTGGATACCTCGGATGGCCACTCAGGGATTAAATATCCCTTTTGCTTTCTGGATCTTTATTTGTGGAAAATCAGTGGGCCTATATGAGGAGGGTGGAGCATACTCTGAATCAGTCTGTTGTTTTTCTAGATTTGATGAGGCGTCAAGAAGAACTTCGGAGGATGGAAGAGCTGCACAATCAAGAAGTGCAAAAACGAAAGCAGCTGGAACTCAGGTAACTTTTTTTCTTCCAACCCTTTTTCTCCAATAACTCTAAAAGGTAATGTCTCACTCCTGCTTCTTACCATCATGCGTTTGTAAATATGTTGGCAAATGTTTCCTGGCTGCTTCTCAAGTTCTCCCTTTAGGTAGATGTTTTGACTGCCCGTGGTTCTGTGAATTCTTGGGACTGCACTAAAGAGGAAAGCAGCTGAGTGACTGCTCTCATGAGGCTGGCTCCTTTGTTAAAGAACTTTTTCCCCTAAAGGACACATCTGGGTTGTTTTAGGGTTGGGCCCACTTAACAGTTTCCTGGAGAGCTAAGGTAGTTTTCAGTGGGCTCTTGGATCTCCTTGGCTGAGTCCCCTATTAAGATAGATAATCTGTTCAAGTTCTGGAATGCCTGTGCTTAAATATCTTGGTGACTCCGTGTAGGCAGGAGGAGGAGCGCAGGCGCCGTGAGGAAGAGATGCGGCGGCAACAAGAAGAAATGATGCGACGGCAGCAGGAAGGATTCAAGGGAACCTTCCCTGATGCGGTATATCTCTCATGTGCCCATGATACGACAAACTCACCAGTAGGATTAGAAAACACAATAGACTATGACCAATTTTTCCACTCTGTGACACTTTTAGAAAGAAGCAGTCATAGGAACGAAAGGTAAGGTTTGAAGAGGAGGTCTTTTTGCCTCACAGGCAATTTAGGATGAAAAGCTGGGGCCGGTGTATGCTATTTAATCTCAGTGACTGCAGGATCAGATAGATTCAGTCCTGTAGCAGCCTTGCCTGGTCTTTTGATGTCCTCAGCAGTTGTACAGGTTGGAGCCCTGAAAGAAATCATGTCTCTCTTCTTTCATCTCTCAATTTGTTCCCAATAGGAAACTCTGACTTGTGTCCTAGTAGCTCTAAACTTGAATTCATTGTACAACTACAGTGAGTGAGTTCAAGGAGCTGTTGTAGATGTTCTTTAGTATGTGGTCCTTAGTGGATTGTAGTAGAATGAATGCAGTGCCGTCTTGGACTGTCTTGAGTGTTTTTTTGTTTTTCAGAGAGAGCAAGAGATACGGATGGGTCAGATGGCTATGGGAGGTAAGGACTTAACAAGATTAATGGTACAGATTTCTTTTTTTTTTTGTCTCATCTCTGGTGAACTATGTAGCTTCTCCTACCTAGTCCAAATTTAAGGGGCTTGACATTTCTGGAAGCAAATTTTGGCAGGAGGGTAACATGTCTTAGCCCAGAAGTCTTGAATTGTTTCCTTTGGCATAGATAAAGAAGGTCAATGTCTGTCTCCTCTACTGATCACTACTCTGTTTTAGGTGCTATGGGCATAAACAACAGAGGCGCCATGCCCCCTGCTCCTGTGCCAGCTGGTACCCCAGCTCCTCCAGGACCGGCCACTATGATGCCAGATGGAACTTTGGGATTGGTAAACTGCAGAGCTTTATGGTGATAGGAGGAAGGACTTTGCCTTCATGGTCCTTGGGCCTGCTACAGTTTTGCTACAGATTAAATAGTATTTAGGATCACTGTTATCTATAAAATGTTAACCTCAAGCTCTTTGAGTTTTGTGCAAACCCAATCTTATTTAAATTATATTTTATCCTCTGACTGGCTAGTTTTGACTGACATTTTTTGCTACCCTGGGTAAATAGGTTCCTTTTTGGAGGGAAGGCAACAAAGGTTAGGCATTACCATATAAAATACATATGAGTCCAAAAGCTTTATGGCTCATTCAGTCTTGAAGTGGTTTAGTTGTAGTGTCAAAATGTTTACTTTATTCAGGGTTAAGTTTGCTGAAGAGTGATGGCCTGCCCTTGTCCATGTACCTAGTTAAGGAAAAAGGACTTGGCTAACATTTATCCAGCCCAGGAATTTAGTATGTAATGTTGCTTAGACTGTAGGAATCAGGATAAAAAGTTAAAGAAGATGGGTGGAACTGTCAGCAACTTCCTTTTTAGGGTTATCCACTATAGTTCTAAATAGGCTTAGTCTCCCCTACCATCAGGAACCTTGAATGTTGAGTGGAAATGGCCTCCAGGGGAGGGACTATGGATGGGTGGGAAGCTCGGGCACAGGTTCTATTATAACGTCGTTCTCTTTCTCTTTAAGACCCCACCAACAACTGAACGCTTTGGCCAAGCTGCTACAATGGAAGGAATTGGGGCAATTGGTGGAACCCCTCCTGCATTCAACCGTGCAGCTCCTGGAGCTGAATTTGCTCCAAACAAACGTCGCCGATACTAATAAAATTGCAGTGTCTAGTTTCCCAAAACCCTTAAAAGAAAGACCCTTTTTGGACTAGCCGAATTCTACTCTGGAAAAATGTTAGGGATTCCTCCCAATAGTTTAGGTCTTCCCTGCCTGTAGTACTCTAGGGAGTATGTTGGAGGCAGAGGGTAAGGGAGGGGCAATATTTAACAAATCAGTTCTATGTGGTATATCCTTTCACTAATCAGTTCTGTGTGGTGCATTCCTAAAATCTCATGTGATTGTTGAGAGCCTGTGAGGGCCGGGGAGCCATGGCAAAATGGATCCAGTTAGAGCCCCCATTAATCTTAATCATTCCACTCTTTGTCCACCCTGTTCTATTTGCTTTCTTGTTCTTACACCCCCTCCCCCAGAGATCCTGCCACATATACCACAAAAACCAAACATCCCCCAATGACCTTGGCCCCACTGTTCCATTCACTCCCAGGTGGGAATTCAGGCACATGTCCACAGAGGTCACAGACAACATACATACGGTTCTGTTATATCCCATATATTACCCTTTCATGTCCCAAGGAAGACATTTTCTCTTAGAGATTTTCATTTAGTATATCTTTAAAAAATCTTGTGTTAAACTTGCCTCCATCTTTTTCTTGGGTAAGGACAACCCAGAAATGGCCCTTTTGTGTCTGTGATGTTGCCATTCACAGCTTTTCTTGATAGGCCTAGTACAATCTTGAGAACAGGGTTGCTGTATGCTGATTGTCAGACAGTAGCTCTTAGCTTTGCCTATCTTAGGTAGTTATGCTGTGCATTTTTTATTGGTGTACCATGTTTGATTTGTCCCTAATACCTTTGAAGTTTTTCTGAGAAATGAATTAATGCAACATCAACTTATTAAAATGCATTTTAAGCCTTTTAATTTTCTGTGCTGTTTTTGAAGGGGGGAGGAAGGGGAGTTCTGTCTCAGATGAGTGCAAGGCTATAAGAATAATCCTTTATGACCTTTTGCTTAAAATATTAATCATCTAGGCAAACATGGGGAGGGTAGATGTATACTATGGTCAAAGTGGTTGAAGATCCCGTGCTTTTGGTGGTACACAGAAGTAATGAGGATGGGAGGAAAGCTGCTGCTTTGAAAGAGGAAGAAAATGGGCTAGAGGAATTGGGATACCTTCACCAAACTGGGAGGGGGCTTAAAATTGGTTCTTTCTTTCTGAGCAGGTGCTGGTATGTAAGAGGCTTGAAATTGGCATGGTAAATCTAAAACAAGTCTCAGCAGTGGTTAGCTGATCTCACCCAGGTTCCGAGCCCTACTCTGCCTGATACTTTTTTCTTAAGCCTCAGAGCTGAAATGTTCCTGAGTTCTTTCCTATTGGCTGGGAAGACCAATTGAAGTTCCCTTGCCCATGTTAGGAGGTGTACGCCTCCTGAACTAAAGATAGAAACAGCTGGCCCTTCCAGGCAGCTAAAAGCCTCCAGACTAAGAGGTGTTCCCCACTCGGCAGCCAGACTCCTTGAAATACCCTTTCAGTAATTCTACCAACGCCTCCATGTCTCTACTCTGCCATAACAAAGGCTGTGGGCAGCATTTTGACCCCCAAACCAACCTTCCTGGTGAGTAATCCTGACCTTGCCAGGAGCTCTGTGGGTGCTAAGGGAGTTGTCAGCTATAGGCAGTCTGTTACAGGAACAGAAATTGAGTGTGTACCTGCCTTAGTTTAATTGGTCTGCATGTTCTTCAGTCTACTGATATCCTTTTTTTTATATACCATATGAAAAGATTGTAAGGATATAAACCTGGAAAAGTAAGAATTCCTTTCCTTCCTTGATCTTACTGGTATCCACAGATTCCTGTTGCCATCACCCTGGGGTCCCAATCTTCCATGACGCACTTAAGGTGAGGAATAGGCAAGGGGGGAATAGCAAGAGCACTTTGCAAAAGAAACAGCCAGGAATCTAAGCTGAGCTGGGTCTCTTGTTATCAGGGTTGGTCCTGCTGCCGGAAGCGAACTGTAGATTTCTCTGAGTTCCTAAACATCAAGGTAAATTCTTTACTTTCGGGTATTCTGCCCCAATAGAAGGATTCTGTCCCTAATTTTCTTTCCCTATCTATACTAGGGCTGTACTGTGGGACCACACTGTGCTGAGAAGCTCCCTGAGGTCCCTCAACCTGAGGGCCCTGGTACAAGCAGTTCACTTCAGGAGCAAAGACCTCCGAATGTGATTCCAAAGTCAGCAGAGACTTTGCGTCGGGAGAGGCCCAAGTAAAGAGGAGGTCCCTGGGTTTTTCGTACATTCATGGAGCTTCCTAGGAGTGATTAATGGGTCATTGAGGTTTGGGAACTAGAGACTTGAGATAGGAGGAGACCCAAGTGTCAGGGCTTGGTGTATGTTTTGTACCTTAGGGGAAATTTGTGTCCAGAAATAATGTCCTTTGCTTTTAAGATGGTATGGGGTGATGGGGTAGGTATTTTGAATCAACAGAGTAGATAGCCTCTCACAAATAAATACTTAGTTATAAGGGTGATTGTTGAATGAATTGGGTTTTTTTTTCTTTTTGGAAAAGAGTTTTAAAATACGTTTTATATATTAAGAAAAGAATGTAGTAGTAGTGGCAGCCAGGAGGCTGCCGAGAAGAATGAATAAATTTTGTGGAAATAATATGAGCAACAGAAGAAAGTCTACAGTTAATTAGATGAAGAAAAGGGAATAATGCAGTTGTATAGAAAAATATGGATTTAGAGCAACTGAGTAGATTGGCAAGAGAAGCCCTGGGGAATTCCCCAGGGTTCAAGGATTTGGCATATCCACAGAGAAGAAAATTGGCAATGGGATTGCTATCTATCTTCTCTAACTCTGCCCTACTTTCACCAGACTTCTTCAATTCTATTACCATTGGTGGGAAGGTAGGCACTGTTGGTCACAGTTAGTGGGTCTGGACTAAATCACCCCACCCATACTCCCTAGGTCAGAGTTGCCTTCAAAGTTGCTTCCACTAAATATATCCCAAGCTCTGGAAATGGCACTGGAACAGAAGGAATTAGACCAAGAACCTGGAGCAGGTAAGTGGGTCCTTAGTAGGACAGGTTTCACAGGCTGGAATTTAGTGAAAGTGGCAGTTTTGGTGGAATAAATGAATAGGGTTCCTGACTCTTGTTTTCTTTGTCCAGGAGTTGACAGTAGCCTGATCCGGATTGGGGCCAGCTGCCAGAACCCAGGATGTGATGCTGTGAGTGAGAGTTTGTGGAGGACTCAAGCGTGTGTTTGAGAGACGTGATGCCTGAGGGATGGCTGGGTATAGATGTGAGGCTGCATACATTTTTAAATGATCTGATTCTTTTCCTGATTCTCCTTTATCTGTCTTAGGTATACCAAGGCTTAGAGAGTGATGCTACTCCATGTACCTACCACCCTGGAGCACCTCAATTCCATGAGGGGTGATGGAGGGGACTGGGTGGGCTGTGAGACAGGATTTTCCCAATGTTGACCTTAAGATGGAGTGCTTGTGGGGAGGGGAAAGGAGATGAAGTGAATTCTATTCCTACCTCAGGGTGAAATCTTGGAGCTGTTGTGGCATCCAGACCCTGGATTTTGGGGCATTCCTGGCACAGCCAGGATGCAGAGTTGGTAGACATGATTGGGGGAAGCAGGTAAGTCCCGACTTTACTGAACTCTTGATTAGAACCCAGTTCCCAAATAATTTCTCCTCCCTGTACCTCATGGCCAAGCTCTATATCTTCTCCCTTTTGCATGGACCAAATAAGATTTCTGCTCCCAGCGCTTTTGCAATATGAAGTCATGTTAATCTTTCTGACACTCTCTGTTTCTTTTCCACATACACCATGAGAACGCCCCTTGGGATAAGAGTTCATTCTTACCATCCACATTTCACATCTTCTTTTTAGCTGCCGGCATCTTGCCGTCATGATTGGCATCAGACAGATTCCTTAGTAGTGGTGACTGTATATGGCCAGATTCCACTTCCTGCATTCAACTGGGTGAAGGCCAGTCAAACTGAGGTGAGGAATGTCTGATGCTGGATGGGAGGCCAGTGAATTGGGTGATATTATCATCTTACAGGCTGAGTCGTCGTACGCAGTTAACATGTAGGCTCCATAGTCCTCTGGTAGAGCTGTAAGGTCAGGGTTATCTGACTGGCCTGTGGATGTAGGGAATACACCACTGGCCTGCTTCTGTGTCATAATAACATGTTCTGACCTTCTGGGATTGTTCCTACCCTGTAATTCTTTTCTCTCAGCTTCATGTCCACATTGTCTTTGATGGTAACCGTGTGTTCCAAGCACAGATGAAGCTCTGGGGGGTAAGTGAAGAGAAAGGGGCACAAGAGGGGGAGGCAGATGGGGTAAAAAGAAGGGCCGGACTGCAATGAATAGAGGGTGTCTTGAGGGACGAAGTCGTAGTGGGAAAGTGGAGGTTTTCTCTTCATTTGCTTTGATATTCTCTCTCTCTCTCCCTCTTCTCCCTATTTTCTCCCCTTCCCCCCCAACTCCCCTTTCTTTCCTCTTTCTCTCTTTCCCTTACTTATTCCTTCCCTATATTTTCCCCCATCTTGCATTTTTTATTTTTCTCCCTCTCATTCATCACCACCCTGCCCTGACCCCAACCCCTTTGGTTTCCTCATTTTCTCTTCTGTGTTCCTCTATCTTTCCCTCCTCCTCAGGTCATAGACGTGGAGCAGAGCTCTGTCTCCTTGATGCCATCTCGGGTTGAAATTTCCCTGGTCAAGGCTGACCCAGGATCCTGGGCCCAGCTGGAGCACCCCGATGCACTGGCTGAGAAGGCTAAGGCAGAGGTTGGGTTAGAGATGGATGAGGAAGAGTCTGAGGATTCAGATGATGACTTGAGCTGGACAGAGGAGGAGGAAGAGGAGGAAGCAATGGGGGAATAGTGACACCAGACAGTCAAGTGTCTAGATAGGACCTCAGTGACTCCCTTAGGATTTCAGAGACCAGGGTATGGTTGGCCATGGAGTGTCACTGAGCAGCAGGAGGCAGAAGGAGGGGAGAACAAAAGTGTCCAAACCATGCTGTTTTTTCCCAATAAATCTTGTATTCTGCAGTTTCACATAGTGTCGTTCTCTCACCTCACTATCTAAGATTGCATTCATTCCCTCCAGCTTCTGTGTATGTGTGTAACACACATGTGTGAATACAAGCACGTGCAATCAATTCTTCACAACCACCAAGTATTTACTGAGTACTTACTACGTGCCCAGTTACATGTTAGGTGGTTTAGAGGTATCTGAGAAGCAGTAGACTTACTCATTCCTCTTGGGAAAATTGTAGTGTGGTTGACAAGTCAAGGCTAATCCACATGAGATAATAATAAATATTATAAGTAGTTTAACTGAGTGCTAAATTGTGCAGTACAATTTTCAAAGCTATAGGAGTTGAGAGAATGGAGTGATTAATGTGGACTGTAGTAGAAAGGGAAAACACCATGGAACAAGTACATTTTTTACAACTTTAATTAAATATAGTACACATCCTATACAATTTACCCAAGTGTAAGTGTAAAATTCAGGGTTTTTTTTAGTATACTCAGAGTTGTGCAGCCACAATCAATTTTATTTTTATTTTTTTGGCCACACTGCAGCATCTTCGTTCCCCAACCAGAGATCGAACCCATGCCCCTGCAGTAGAGCACAGAGTGTTAACCACTGGACCACCAGGGAAGTCCCAACCACAATCAGTTTTTGCCATTCCCAAAAGAAACCCTATACCCATTAGCAGTCACTCCCAATTTCCCCTCAAACTGATAGCCCTAGGCAACCACTGATCTACTTTCTGCCTCTATGGATTTACCTATTCTGGATATTTCATCCAATATGTGGTTTTTTGTGACAGACTTCTTTCACTTAGGATAATGTTTTCAAGGTTCATCCATGTTCATACAACATGATGCTCATCCAACATCAGTACTTTGTTCCTTTTAATGACCAAATGATATTTCATTGTGTGGATATAACACTTGTTTATCTCTTCATCACTTGAGGTATATTTGGATTGTTTCTACTTTTTGGCTATTACGAGTAATGCTCCTGTAATAATGCTCCCATGAGCATTCATGTTCAAGTTTTTATGTGGACCTATGTTTTCATTTCTCTTAGATATATATCAAGTATAATTGGAGTGTAATTTCTGGGTCAGATGATAACTTTTAACCTTTTGAAGAATTGCCAGACTGTTTTTCAAAGAGGCTGCACCATTTTACATTCCCATCAGCTGTGTATGAGGGTTCCAATTCTCTACATCCTAGATAGCACTTGTTACCTGTCTTTTATTTAAATCACAGCCATCCTAGTGGGTGTGAAGTGGAATATCATTGTGGTTTTAATTTGCTTTTTCCTGATGGCTAATGATGCTGAGCATCTTTACATGTGCTTGTTGACCATTTTTATATCTTATTTGGAGAAATGTCTAAACCAAACCTTTGTCCATTTGTTAATAGGGTTGTTTGTCTTTTTAGTGACTTTTTAAAAAATATGTTCTAGTGACAAATCTCTTGTCAGAAACATGATTTATAAATATTTTCTCCCATTCCCTATGTTGTCTTTCTACTTCCTTGGTGTCTTTTGATACACAAAAGTTGTAAATTCTTAGGAATTCTAATTTATCCATCTTTCCTTTGGTTGCTTATGCTTTTGATGTCATATCCTAGAAACCATTGCCTAATACATGGTCATAAAAATTCATTCCTGTGTTTTCTAAGAATTTTATAGTTTCAGCTCTTTCATTTTGGTCTTTGATCCATCTTTTTAAAAATACTTATTTATTTGGCTGCACTTGGAATCTTCATTGTGTTATGTGGGATCTTCCATTGCAGCACACGAACTCTGGTTATGGCACGTGGGCTCCAGAGCACAGGGACTTCAGTAGTCATGGCACATGGGCTTAGTTGCTCCACGCCATGTGGGATCATAGTTCCCCCACTAGGGATCAAACCTGTGTCCCCTGCATTGCCAGGTAAATTCTTAAAAGTTTTTGTATGTGGTATGAGGTAGGTGTCCAACTTTATATTTTTGCCTATAGGTATCCAGTTGTCCCAGCACTGTTTGTGGGAAAGACTATTCTGTCCCCACTGAATTGACCTGGCACCCTAGTTGAAAATCAATTAACCATAAATGTGAGGGTTAAGAAATATATTTTGAGTGGAAATTTGAAGAATAAGAAATTTGGATGGCTATGGAAGAGTTGGGAGAGCCAGGCTTGGGTAGGAAGGTGTTCTATTTTACTTTTTATGTTTTATTATAAACTCCAAAAGCAATACATTGTCATTGTAAAAGACAATACAGAAATGTGTAGAGTAAGAAGTAAGAATTCTTTGGATTCTCTCCAAACTTAGTTCTTTTGTGGTTTGTAACCACTGCTAACATATCAGAGGATTTTTTTTTTTTTTTTGGCCACTTGGCATACAGGATCTTAGTTCCTTGACCAGGGATCCAACCTGTGCCCCCGGAGTGAAACCATGGTGCCCTAACCACTGGACCACCAGGTAATTCCCTCAGAAGGTTTAAATGAGGGAACAAAAGAGAGAGTTAAAAAGGCATTATAGGCATTTTCTTTTTAAAAAATTTTATTCTATTTATTTGGTTGCACTGGGTCCTTGTTGCTGCATGCAGGATTTCTTTAGCTGCTGCATGCAGGGTTTCTCTAGTTGCAGCGAGCGGGGGCTACACTTTGTGACAGTGCACCAGCTTCTCGTTGTGGTGGCTTCTCTTGTTGTGGAGCACAGGCCCTAGGTGCATATGGCCTCAGTTGTTGTGGTGCACAGTCTTAGTTGCCCCGTAGCATATGAAATCTTACCAGACCAGGGATCAAACCTGTGTCCCCTGTATTGACAGGTGGATTTTTATCCACTGTACCACCAGAGAAGTTCAGCCTTTTCTTTTTATTGGTTTTTTTTTTTTTTTTTTGGCTGCACCTCACAGCCTGTGGAATCTTAGTTCCCTGACCAGGGATTGAACCCCGAACCATGGCAGTGAAATCACTAACCACTGGACCATGAGGGAATTCCCTTAAATGTAGGTCTTAATTAGAGGAGTGATATCTCTTTTTTTGAGTCTCTCTTAAATCAGATTTACTCCTTCAACAGCGTGGCCAAGAATCTGGGATTTCAGATTCTTAGAAACATCAAACTAGGAAGCTTACTCAGGTGATCTCAAGTATTTTTCATAGCACCCTTTTATCTCAGTTTAGATTCAAAGAACATAAGGTTTCATTAGTAGCTAGGAGTAAGATGGGGGTGGGAGAATGGACATGGGCAGCAAAGGTGAGGGATTGAAGCATTGTGCTGAGGATTTGGAAACTGAGGCAAGATTAGGGGATGTTAGAGAATGCATCAGGAAAGTTTCCTCTACCTTGCAGGAAAGTTTGAGCACAGATAAAGGGGCTTCCTGGACCTCCAGGATATTCAATAATTCTGGTTTAGCTCTCTGCTCTCATTCAAGTGCAAATTAAGTTTTCCCCTGAGCTGAATCCTTCAGATCCTTTCTAACTAGGTGGCAAGTGGGATCTTAGTTATCCAACCAGGGATCAAACCTGTGTCTCCTGCTGTGGAAGCTTGGAGTCTTAACCATTCAACCACCAGGGAAGTTTACTTTTTTTTTTTTGGAAGTTTACTTTTTTAAAAAAAAAGTTCTTTTAAAATAATTTTATTTATTTTTGTCTACCCTGGGTCTTCACTGCTTGCCTGGGCTTTCTCTAGTTGTGGCAAGTGGAGGCTACTCTTCGTTTCAGTATGTGGGCTTCTCATTGAGGTGGCTTCTTTTGTTGTTGTACAGGCTCTAGGCATTTGGGCTTCAGTAGTAGCACGTGGTCTCAGTAGCTGTGGCTCACGGGCTGTAGAACTCAGGCTCAGTGTTTGTGGTGCTCAGGCTTAGTTGCTCTGAGGCATATAGAATCTTCCTGGAGCAGGGATCGAACCCTGCGTTGGCAGGCAAATTCTTATCCACTTGCGCCACCAGGGAAATCCCAGAAGTTTGTTGTTGTTCAGTTGCTGTCGGGTCTGACTCCTTGTGACCCTATGGACTGTAGCACGCCAGGCTTCCCTGTCCTTCACTATCTCCCGGAGTTTGCTCAAACTCATGTCCGTTGAGTCTGTGATGCTATCTAATCATCTTATCTCCCGGTCCTTGTGATTCATCCAGCCCGGCATTTTGAATACTCTGCATGTAAGTTAAGTACTCTGCATTTCGGTACTCTGCATGTAAGTTAAACAGAGTGACAGTGTACAGCCTTGTCATATTCCTTTCTCACTTTTGAACCAGTCAGTTGTTTCATGTCCAGTTCTAACTGTTGCTTCTTGACCCATGTATAAGTTTCTCAGGAAACAGGTTAAGTGGTCTAATATTCCTATCTAAGGATTTTCCGTGGTTTGTTGTGATCCACACAGTCAAAGGCTTTGGCATAGTCAATGAAGCAAAAGTAGATGTTTTTCTGGAATTCTCTTGCTTTCTCTGTGATCCAGCAAATGCTGGCAATTTGATTTCTGGTTCCTCTGCCTTTTCTAAATCTAGCTTGAACGTCTGGAAGTTCTTGGTTCACGTACTGCTAAAGCCTAGCTTGAAGGATTTTGAGCATCACCTTCCTAGCATGTAAAATGAGCTCAAAGGTTTACTATTTTTTTTTAAGTAGGAACACTTTATTATTATTATTTATTTATTTTGGTTGCACTGGGTCTTTGTTTCTGTGAATGGACTTTCTCTAGGTTGCAGCAAGCAGGAACTACTCTTTATTGCAGTGCTTGGGCTTCTCATTGTGGTGGCTTCTCTTGTTGTGAAGCACAGGCTCTAGGGGGTGCAGGCTTCAGTAGTTGTGGCTCGTGGGCTTAGAAGTTGGGGTGCACAGGCTTAGTTGCTCTGCAGCATGTGGAATCTTCCTGGAGCAGGGATCAAACCCATGTCCTCTGTATTAGCATATGGATTCTTATCCACTGAGCCACCAGGGAAGTCCAAAAGTTTACTTTTAATGTCATTTTTCTGTGGGTGAAACATCAAAAGGGGCTTTAGAGGATGTATTTTTTTAAATTTAGAGATGTAAAATATATATAGAAGAGTATATAAAGTACACTAATCTTTAATGTACAACTTTTTTCTATCTTATCAAAATCAGGGGACCAGCAACTACTCAGAATTCCTGGAGAGGATGGAGGTGAGGAATCAAAAATTTCAAGTAACCCTTGTATATAAACTTTATATATAAAGCTTAAAATTTACAGCATTAATAAGGTAGTATAGTAGATCCTTTTACATAGCCCCAAAGCCAAAATATGAGTTTCAAGCAGGTGTGTAACATTATTAACCACCACCACCACAATAACCATAGCTACCATTTCTGATACAAACTAACCTGCCAACCATTATACTAAGTGCTTTGCATGTATTATCTCATTTAATCATCTACTTCCCACCATCACATCTACATATTTATTCATAATAGCACACTCTCTCTCCCTGCCTCCTTTTATAGTTCTCATTTCTTTCCACTGTGCTTTATATCATATTCCCTCCTCTCTGGAAACCTTACACTATTATTTATCCTCTCTCTACTCTGTTTGTTCAGCCTTTTCCTCTCTGGATATTTTCATTGACATTTAAACATATGCAAGTCTCCCCAGTCTTACAAAAACAATTTCCCTTGACTTCATATTATTCTCCAGCTACTATTAATTCCTTTCTCTCCTTTGTAACCAAACTTCTTAAAATAACTACTCTTTTTCCATTTCCTTCTTCCTAGTCCATTCACAACACACTTCAGTATGTCTTCTAACTCTCTCAATCTGGGGTGATAAGGTTACCATTGGCCAGGCCACCAAGTCAATAAATCCAATGGATACTTTAGTCCCCATCTTACTTGAACTCTCAAGCAAAATTTTACATTAATGATGGTTTCTTTCTTGAAGTACATTTCATACATTGGCTTCTATGACCCATCACTCCTCTTGGTTGTCTTCCTACTTCTCTGGCCATTTCTTTCAGTCTCTTTTACAGGCTCCTCCTCTTCTTACTGGCCATTCAATGATGAAGTTCCTCAGGACTCAGTCCTAGGCTCGGTCTCTTCATTGTTGTTCAATTGCTAAGTTGTGTCCGACTCTTTGCGACCCCATGGACTGTAGCCTGCCAGGCTCCTCTGTCCATGGGATTCTCCAGGCAAGCATACTGGAGTGGGTTGCCATTTCCTTCTCCAGGGGATCTTCCCAACCCAGGGATCGAACCCGGGTCTCCTGCATCACAGGCAGATACTTTATCCTCTGAGCCACCAGGGAAGCTCAAAGTACCTATTATTAGTACCACTACTATTCTTCTTTCTTTTCACCAAAAGCTTTTACCTTGGCCTATTGGGAAGGCCGAGGCGTTTCTTTTTTTTTCCCTTGGAGAAGAGGGACACATTTCCAATGTCCAATTTTATAATGTTTCAGTAAGGAGTCCAATTTTATAATGTTTCAATAAGAAAATAGGATTCTTTTAGCTGCACCTCATGACTTGTAGGATCTTAGTTCTCCAACCAGGGATTGAACCTGGACTCCTAAGCATGGACTACCAGGGAATTCCCAGAAAATAGAATTTTTCTTGACAGTCAGGTTTTGCTAGTCTATAAAGTGATAACATATTTACCATACAGTTGTATCAACTTGAGCATTATGTATGATTGTATTCACCTCCTGAGGGAGTAAACATCATATATAGAATGCCACTGTGTAGGGCACTTCTACCCACATTATTTTACTTAATCCCCATACCTGATCCCTGAGGATTATTATCCCCGGCTTTTGTAGATAAGGAAATCAAAGCTCAGAGAAGGACATAGCTTGCTTGAGGTCACATGGCTACTGATTAAAACCTCAGTCATTGTTCAAGAGCCATCTGAGAATATCCAAATATCTAAAATCCAGTGAAAATCTTAGAAGAGGAGCTTGATATCACACCCCTCTAGCCTAACAGAGTCCCTTTGATAAGCCTCTCTGGGAACCAGCAAGGCACTTAGTTGTTCAGTAATATCTCACATTGATATAATGCTTTCCTAAACTAGGGATCCCCAACCTCTGGGATCTAATGTCTAATGATCTGAGGTAGAGCTGATGTAATAATAATAGAAATAAAGTGCACAATAAATGTAATGTGTTTGAATAATCCTGAAACCATCCCCAAACCCCCTGGTTCATGGAAAAATTGTCTTCCACAAAACCAGTCCCTCATGCCAAAAAGGTTGGGGACCAGTGTCCCAAACAGCTTTTCACCTCTGATTACCTCATCTCTAACCTAAGTGGGACCCTTAGGTACTTTACCTGTCACTTCATCTGGATCAGTAATTCTCTCTCAGTTACACCAGATTCAGTGTTACTGATTCTGGGACCCCTGTTCACTGTCCCCTCTCTCTCTGCTCCCGAAGTCCCAGAATACTGCTA